CTGATTTCCAATGACTGAAAGGAAAGGAGAGCTGCTGTACACATCACCTGGGATACCTTTCATCCACCTGGCCCCCCTGCCCTTCTGCCCCACATGAGGGGCTGGTATGAGAACAGTGGCAGTAACCGAAGGTGCCATTTTCTTCCTGCCCGGTCAACGGATGCATTATCCATGTTAATGATCGGGTCAGGGATGGCAGGGTGGCCAGAGAGGGCTATTTCTGTGGCTGGTTATTATGACTCATCCTAATCTCAAATATGATCCAATCTCTGTTTCTCTCTGAATTTATGACCTAAGGATTAATATGTTAACACTCAATTTATGCTGAGGGAAATCCTCATGTCAGCATAATAATTTTGGATTACCATTATCGTTATCCCCTGCTGCACAATTTATAACCGAGCTACAGACTCCCTTGCATTTAATAATACACATTCAGCCCAAGCTATGTATTAGGATACAGATCCATTATTTCTCTCAAACAAAACATATCTGGAATAAAGGAGAAAGATTATAGTAACAAAAAAAGCAGAAGAATGAGAAAATTTAATATTTAGAACACTGTAATATATGGTCATTTAGAACACTGTAATACATGGTCATTTAGAACACTGTAATACATGGTCATTTAGAACACTGTAATACATGGTCATTTAGAACACTGTAATACATGGTCATTTAGAACACTGTAATACATGGTCATTTAGAACACTGTAATACGTGGTCATTTAGAACACTGTAATACATGGTCATTTAGAACACTGTAATAAATCGTCATTTGATTTGAAAATACTTGTGCAAATAAACCCACACAAAAGACTTGACTCAATCAATTTGCATAACAATGATCCAGATTTGGCCACTTGGGGGCTTGGCAGATGTGACCCCCCCTTCGCTGATCTCTTTGCTGTCATCGCTGTTATTGCTGATATTGATTGACCTGCCTACTGCTGGATCTTTTCTGTTAGTACTATGTGCAGTGCTTTTGGTCATATTGGGTGGGCAGGGCGGTTATACAGCCTTATCCCATAGCACAGGTCTCCTACTAATATCCCACAATAAAACAAAGAAATGCCTCTGTTTGCTCAGGCTATCTGAAGGTCTCTGGTCCTTTTGCTGCTTGTTTACAGACACCAGTTTGTTTGCTTGTTCCCCTTATCCTTCTGTGTGACATCTTGCATACAGTGTGAGGGACCTGGCTTGATTGGGTTCAAAAAGTCAGAGAGGAGCGATCCTGCCTTTATTTATAACAATATGCATTCTGTCTATGGCTATGTTATTTATCTGGCTAAGATTGTAATATACAGTACCAGTCAAAAGTTTGGACACACCTACTGATTCCAGGGTTTTTCTATTTTTTAAAACTATTTTCTACATTGTAGAATAATAGTGAAGGCATCAAAACTATGAAATAACACATATGGAATCATGTAGTAACCAAAAAAGTATTTGAGATTCTTCAAATAGCCACCCTTTGCCTTGATGACAGCTTTACACACTCTTGGCATTCTCTCAACCGGCTTCACCTGTAATGCTTTTCCAACAGTCTTGAAGGAGTTCCCACATATGCTGAGCACTTGTTGGCTCCTTTTCCTTTACTCTGCGGTCCGACTCATCCCAAACCATCTCAATTGGGTTGAGGTCGGGGATTATGGAGACCAGGTCATCTGATGCAGCACTCCATCACTCTCCTTCTTGGTCAAATAGCCCTTACACAGCCTGGATGTGTGTTGGGTCATTGTCCTGTTGAAAAACTAATGATAGTCCCACTAAGCCTAAACCAGATGGGATGGCGTATCACTGCAGAATGCTGTGCTAGCCATGCTGGTTAAGTGTGCCGTGAATTCTAAATAAATCACAGACAGTTTCACCAGCAAAGCACTCCCAAACCTCCTCCTCCATGCTTTACGGTGGGAAATACACATACGGAGAGCATCCGTTCACCCACACCGCGTCTCAAAAAGCCACTGCGGGTTGGAACCAAAAATCTCAAATTTGGAGACCAGACCAATGGACAAATTTCCACCAGTCTAATGTCCATTGCTTGTGTTTCTTGGCCCAAGCAAGTCTCTTCTTCTTATTGGTGTCCTTTAGTAGTGGTTTCTTTGCAGCAATTCGACCATGAAAGCCTGATTCATACAGTCCCCTCTGAACAGTTGATGTTGAGATGTGTCTGTTACTTGAACTCTGTGAAGCATTTATTTGGGCTGCAATTTCTAAGGCTGGTAACTCTAATGAACTTTCCTCAGCAGAAGTGGTAACTCTGGGTCTTCCATTCCTGTGGCAGTCATCATGAGAGCAAGTTTCATCATAACACTTGATGGTTTTTGCGACTGCACTTGAAGAAACTTTCAAAGTTCTTGAAATGTTCCGAATTGACTGACCTTCATGTCTTAAAGTAATGATGGACTGTTGTTTCTCTTTGCTTATTTGAGCTGTTCTTGCCATAATATGGACTTGGTGTTTTACCAAATAGGGCTATCTTCTGTATAACCCCCTACCTTGTCACAACACAGCTGATTGGCTCTAACGCATTAAGAAGGAAAGAAATTCCACAAATTAACTTTTAAGAAGGCACAACTGTTAATTTTAATGCAATCCAGGTGACTATCTCATGAAGCTGGTTGAGAGAATGCCAAGAGTGTGCAAAGCTGTCATCAAGGAAAAGGCTATTTGAAGAATTTCAAATATAAAATATATTTTGATTTGGTTTACACCTTTTTGGGTTACTACATGATTCCATATGTGTTATTTCACAGTTTTGATGTCTTCACTATTATTCTACAATGTAAAAAAATTTTAAAAAATAAAGAAAAACCCTTGAATGAGTGGGTGTGTCCAAACTTTTGACTGGTAGTGTAATTCAAAATCAAACACGAGGCAATACAAACCTCAAAATGTGACTTATGTCGGAGAGACTGACACATTGCATTTAAGCAGTAACGAGAGTGACTTTAGATTGCTACTGTGCTAGCCAGAGGCTGAACTGTACACATCTATTGTTGTTTGTCAGGCATTGTCAAGCTTGATGAGGCTGCTACTGCTTCTGATGAAAACGTTGAGTCACCAGATAAACTGGGGGTAATGACACACGCATTGCAAAGTAGGCCTTTTTTACCTTTTGTAGCTTTAGTAATTGAATGGAAGTCTTTCTCTTCAGGAGAGACAACTTAAATTGCTTGCATTTCAATTTCATTGCCATTTAGTAGGGTTTCTCAGGATTTTGCCTGGGCAATATTCAAGCAGGGGGTAGAGTGCCTCAGGGCTTTAGTGTTGACCATGGTTGTGGTTGACTCAGTGAGTGGTCATCAGTGAGTGGTCAGAGCCCACATCAATTCTATGACCTGAGGACATCAGAGTAAGCAGCAGCCTCTGAGCCCACATCCTAACATGTCATTGTCAAGCATGACAACATTATTCTCAATCGATTAGCTGTCATACGCCTGTCCCTTTTCTATGGCTAGTTCAGCATAACCCTACAATGAGCTACACCAGGTCTTGCAAGGACTTCTGCTAAGTGAGGTATTGGGTCGGGCAGGAATCGCTATTAACTGCTATTGTAAATAAAACCAGACATAGCATAAAAGCACCAGCTGATAGACATGGTCAAAATAGCCTGACTGTGTTTGCCTATCAAAACTGGGCCAGTCAAAAGTCCTCCTCCTAGGGCCTTGCAAAACCTTATTAAGCATAGGTAGTAGCCTCCCCACAGCTGGCTTTAAGAAGAGAGATGTATGGATTTTCTGTCTCAAGAACTATCTGGATCAGTAGGTAGCTGCTTTAATGGAATAAGCTTTTAATAATTCCTGCAGCAAACATGCCAGTAAGAATGTGAATGATTCAGCTAAGATACAGAATTGCAATAACACTAAACATTGTATCTATTCTCATAAAAATGTAATTTCACTTTCAGGGACTCACCAGTTGAGAGGCACTCAGATCCAGGCAAAATGGAGGGTGAGGTCCATACAGTGTTTTGAGGGTGGGTTTCTATGTGAATTCCTCCAGCAGTAAATGTAGGCTGTTCTTCCCTCCAGTTCCTTGGTGTAGCAGCAGCAGCCTGGTGGTAGGGGTCTCAGGGGAGTGACTAGGCCTGCTCCACTGCTCACACAACCCAACTAAGGAGGCTGGATTTAACATGCTAATTAGTCACCTATCTCCCACCCAGTCATTAAATCTACCCTCTGAGCCCATATATCCCATCACAGTGGATTACTTGTTACTATATCAGTAGGGTCAGACTGGACCTCCCTAAGACAACTAAGAAAATATGCAGTTAAAATGAAGATTCTGGCTGTGATACAATATGACAAGTAGCTATATCATTGTGAGCGGTCAACATAACAGAAAAATACAATAACACCCTCCAGTTAGAGAATGTAATAATTTCATTCGAATAATTAAGATATATAAGTGGCTGCATTAAAAATGGTGAACTGAGTTAGTTTATGGCCGTTTAACAGTGCAACTCATTTCTTGTTATGACAAGCTGCCAGTGTTTACTCCTTTAGCCTCCAGCAAGAGCATATGTAGAGCAGTATACTCATCTCATATTCAATTAGAGGTTCAAATAATATCAGATGAAAAACATGCAAAGTAGCCCATATTTGAACTCTGCGGTCTGCAGTGCCTCTCTCATCCAGAGCTCCTCATGCATGCCCTCTACTGACAGTGAGTTATATGACAGGCTCCAGTTCATCAGGCAACAATTATCACAAGACTCATCATCACCATTATTTCTCATTTATTAAAAATTGACACATAGCCTTAGGGGGGACATTTGTACCTATATATACACACAGAAGTGACAGCTATGTATCAATGTGAATTGAGCCCAGTCATTCTCACCTCTGGACTTCTCCATGTTATTCTCACGTCCTGCCTACACTACTGAGAGGTTACATGAAGCAGGCAAAGAAATAATAAAGAGGAAAGAGAGACAGATACAGTGTGTTATTAGTGGTCCCGTGTGGCTCAGTTGGTAGAGCATGACGCTTGCAACGCCAGGGTTGTGGGTTTGATTTCCACTGGAAATGTTTGTATATACAAAGCACAAACGCTAAAATACATACATGATGACACTGATAGTCTGCTCCCTAATGATAAAACACTGAACATGTCAATGTCCTTGTGGAAATGTGTCAGTTTGGAAGACCAGAGCCCGCTTGCTCTTCCTTGCCACTGCCCCCTGACTCCAATGCCAACTTCTGGCGGTAGCGCTCGGCCCGCAGTTCCTCAAAGCAGAACTCGGAGGCGCCACTGAGCAGCAGATCCTTGCAGTACATGCTCTGCTCCTGAGCTTTCCCCTCTTCCTGCTGCTGTTGCTGCAGTCTCTTCAGAGGAGTCTCATCCCTGCAGGGCTTCCGTGCAGACAACACTGAATTCACCGCTGGGTTGATCTTACACGGTGTCCTGGAGGAATAAGGTGCCAGCACAAATAACTAAAACCTTAAGAACACAGTTGGAGCAGAAACAAACGATGCCACAGGCATACTGCTGGGTTTAAGTCACCCAATTTTGAAAGAATGTATTGCTAGACCTACATTTCTTTAAATAGAAAAATTGATCTTTGCTGTTCCAGCCACAGTAGTTAATTCAGTTAGTTATGATTAAGATGATCTCAGTGAACACTCACATAGCTGGAGGCTGATCCGACTCCTCCACAAAGGGCTGGAAGTTTGGCTTGCTGGGCGGAGCCACAACACTGTGACCAATTCTGGACTTCATTGGCATCTACAATAGAGCACACACAAATTCAGTCATATAAATTACAACAAGCCTTAAGTGCCATTACTGTGTGTCTCATACCTTTACGTTGCTCCATTTCTCAGGCCTCTGTTCGTTCTCCTTGGATCTCGATGGGGGTGGGGCCATCCAAGATTCCAACTTTGGTTCAGAGGGCTCAGCACTGGTAGCCTTGTTCTCATCAAAGATCACAAGGCGACTGTTTTGACCACTGCTGGCCAGAGCTGGTGGGCCTTGTAACTGTAGGCTTCGTGAATTACCTGTGAAAAAACAGGTAATATAGAGTCAAAAATCATAAATATATTCTTCTTCATGACATTACACAACCCAACATGACACTTTAACCTGGAATGGGATGATCTATCATTTTAAAAAGAGACGTGCTTACTGCTCAGTGCAGCACCAACTCTACTGATAGGTGCAACAGCCTTTTTCTTCCCCCTGTGTTTTAGATCCACCAGAGAAACCCGCTCAGGCTTCGCTGCCTCAGCTTCCTCCTCCTCCTCATCCACCATGCCAGACATCACCTGCCGGGACACACGCGCCTGCAAAGCCCTGCAGCAGATTACACAAAACATTGAATTATGGTAGGAAAACTATCATGGTTTCAAGTTAAAACCACCTCAAACAGCATGGAAGTAGATCCAGTAAAAAACTGCATTAAAGTAGATCCATACATGTGAAACTGCAGGAGTTTCTCCCGAGGTTCAGCCCCACGCTTGAAGCCCTCCTGGTAGACACTGTCTGCTGTTCGAGAGTTGCCCTGATTCTCATACTCCTCAGACCAGGCAATGTAGAAGGAAGCCTGTTGTACTCCTATTCCCTTGCCTCGCATATATCTGTAGATATCCAAAGGCTCGTGACAGCTCTCCGCCTAATACAGGAAGACAGAGTACATACAGTACCAGTCAAAAGTTTGGACACACCTACAGAGTTACCTCTACTGCAGAGGATAAGTTCATTAGAGTTACCAGTCTCAGAAATTGCAGCCCAAATAAATGCTTCACAGAGTTCAAGTAACAGACATCTCAACATCAACTGTTCAGAGGAGACTGCGTGAATCAGGCCTTCATGGTCGAATTGCTGCAAAGAAACCACTACTAAAGGACACCAATAAGAAGAGACTTGTTTGGGCCAAGAAACACGAGCAATGGACATTAGACCGGTGTAAATCTGTCATTTGGTCTGATGAGTCCAAATTAGAGATTTTTGGTTCCAACCGCCATGTCTTTGTGAGACCTGGTCTCCACAATCACCCGACCTCAACCCAATTGAGATGGTTTGGGATGAGTTGGACCACAGAGTGAAGGAAAAGCAGCCAACAAGTGCTCAGCATATGTGGGAACTCCGTCAAGACTGTTGGAAAAGCATTCCAGGTGAAGCTGGTTGAGAGAATGGCAAGAGTGTGCAAAGCTGTCATCAAGGCAAAGGGTGGCTACTTTGAAGAACCTCAAATATAAAATATATTTTGATTTGTTTAACACTTTTTTGGTTACTACATGATTCCATATGTGTTATTTAATTGTTTTGATGGCTTCACTATTATTCTACAATGTAGAAAAACCCTTGAATGAGTAGGTGTGTCCAAACTTTTGACTGGTACTGTACATAGGCATGAATACAACTTGTTTGATTGACACTTGTCACATGATAAAGTTGTATGAAAAAAGGACAAGGGTTACTTACAAACTTGATCCATAGGTCAACATAACGGCTGTCATTGTGATATGCATTTTCCTCTGTGAAGCGCATCACAGCTCTCTCCAAAAGCACAGAAAGGTTACTCTCCTTTCCTCCCTGTGGATAGGTCTGCTCTGTCCATTTAACATACCTGTTAAAAAGGAACCATGTTATCTGGCTACAATAATGACATTATCGATGAACATTAAGACATTCACACTAATATTCCTTCAGGTATGATTACAGTCTTGGTCAGAGTAATCATTTTCATCTTACCGATCCCAAACATCAAGGGGGTCATCTCCGTCATACACTCTCAGTTCAGACTCAAAAGCCCTGAAGACAACAAACACATTGGTTGAACACAAAACAATAAGCCTGTTTGTATATTTGTCAACACTGTAATTTCACCCCATTCAGCCAAGCACAGGACCGGAATGCCTTGTGGATCTGCCCCAAAACGGGTTATTTAACGTTAGGTATCTAGTAAGCCAAGGTCCCACTGTATGCAGTCTCTCCCAACCCAAGCACGGCACTGAAATCCCTGTTTGTAGCTAGTTAAGTACTTTAAAGGCATCCTTACTGTTTGTGTTGGTTGGTGGCAGAGCTCGATCCCTCTTGCTGTTGACTGAGTGCCTGGTGTAAAACTGATATGTCCCGACCTTTCTTCAAGGGCTGGATGTTCTCTTTGCAAAGTTCCCAGTCTGCCTCTCCTCCTTCTGCCATTTTGGTTCTGTAAATTAGCTAGCTAGCTAGAATAACAGCAGACACAAACAATGACAAGCCACACAAGTACATCTCTTGGACAACTTGTAATGTTTTACAAAGCAAGTAACAAGCACGGTATCACGCTTTGTAATATTTTTGCAAAAGCACTAGCTAGCAGTAGTTACATAACAACAACCAGCTAGGTAGCTAGCATTATCCAAGTTAGCCACAGCTGGTTAGCAAATCGTATTAGGCTAACGTTATATCAAAACGATCTTACCCTGTTTAGTAGCTAGATATATATTTTATCTTCAACAACTTTCTAGATACAATAATAATATATTTAGTCAAAGTTCAATAACACTGGACTGGATCGTTGTCCTTTTCATGCTGGTTGCTCTGTGTATTTTGAACTCAAACCGCGAGAAGATTTGGCAAAGCTGATTGGATGGTCACACCAACGACGTGAGCAAACGTGCAGTCGTAAACGAGTAACTCGTTAGAAAAATGAAAGGCGTTTTCTGTTGATAGTACATTATTTATGGTGGACTCTAAAACCACTCAAATATAATATCTTCCCTAAAAAATATTTTTACTTCTTTTTTAACGCTTTACATGTATACTTTAAGACTACATTTACCATGTGGCTGCACGCTCATTGAACGCTAGGTTGAAAATGGCCTGGTATATTCTGAACCTAGACTGAATGTACAGGCAACTTCCGGTGGACTTCCTGATTGATCAATGGATGGTTTTCTGGATAGTCTAAACAAATCCAGCTATGAAAGAGTTCGTTTTATGTTTATTTGACAAATGACTGTATCATACGGAGATGGCAAGACGATAGCAGTAGTGGCCGTTCAACCAGATTGCATTACTCTCTAAATGCGGCGAAATGGACAACCGTTGTTATTGTTGTGCATCAAAGTTCACTCTCTTCAGGAAGGAGGTTTGTTTCTACCCCCTACTCATTTTCAGTTGCTGTAGTTAGCTGGATATTTTAGTGCATATAATTGTCCAATAATCTGGTACAGGTTCGAACTCCTTGTTTTATGTTTTGATTGTTATATTTTACAGTTGGGCTGTAAGAACTGCGGGCGTTCATTTTGTTCGGGTTGCCTTACTTTCAACGCAGTGGTGCCTCGTTGTGGCAACACCCAGCAGAAGGTCTGCAAGCAATGTCATGGGAATCTCACAAGGTGGAGTGATGATGTAGTTTTGCTTTTCTACCAAAGCATTAGGCTTATGCAATATCATGATATTTAATGCACTGGTTTTGCTTCCTCACTGAATACTGTTTTGGCAGTGGAGAAAACCAAAATAATGCCTCAAGATGGTCCCCTCCTGAAAACTACAAAAAGTGAGTACAGATGGGTTGATAAGTCAGTCGACTGTTCGCTATATATTGCTTATCAGTAGATATCATAACGCCTTTTATATTGTGTTTGCTCAGGCGTGTTGCTGCTCTTGAGGCCAAACAAGGACAACCGATTCCACCCCCTGGACCAGGGGGCAGCAGAAATGCCAAACTAGGCCTCATTCCAACCAAAAGTCTGAGTAAAGAGGACCTGGCCATCGCTGAGAGGCTGCAAAAGCTGAAAGAGGACATCAAACCAAGTGAGCATTGTCTAACACACTATGTTGCAATAGGCCTATATCTTTACTGATACCTGAAATTATATCTGTGACCAACCCTTGTTTAGAGTCCATCCCGTCAGAAAAAGAGATTGAATCCCGTCTGGCTGCCCTGAAGGCTCCTATCCAGCCTGCGCCCTCTGCAGGGGAGATGGAGGACCGCCTGGCAGCCTTACAGGGAAGACCTCCTCCCTCCCAAGCCCCTCCACCTGTGAGTCAGAGCATTAGACTACACATATTAGGCTAAAACGTTCTGTGTTGCTGCTATTTGTCCTCATATTCATACTGTATCCAAATCCTTTAGGTCTTAGTGAAGTCCCATTATTGCAATAAGTTAGTTTTGTGGCTCTGCGCAGGTACACCAGCCCCCTGATGTTCGGACCCCGACAGAACAAGCCAATGATCTGATCACTCAGTTGTCAGAGGAAGTTGCCATAGACACCCAACAACCAAATCCTGAAGGTATTTGGATTCTTCTCTGTAACTGTACCAACTTTAGTGAAAAAATGTTATGTCTTATGTGAGATATTACTGTAGATTAGTCTTTATTCAAAGATAACAATTCAATGGCTTCCCACTCTATCAAGCTGTTGTAAATGCTGAATCTATTTTCCAACCATCACTGACATTTCACCTTGTTTCCATTCAAGGTGTGGACGGCCCCATGAACGACTTGAACAAGCAGGAGGGGGACAGGCTGGAGGAGAACCTGGATAATGGGGGTGGGCTGCAGGATGCAGCCAGGCAGCTGGAGGATGAGAAGAACCGCATGCTGGCCGACGCAATGGAGGACCTGAGACGGGACCGCTGCTCCCAGGAACAGGTCCTACAGATGGCCAAGAGGCTGGCCCAGCTCAAGGGACAGGACCCTGACAAGGGTAAATTACTAAATGTAGATGTTAACCCCTCCATATAAATACTTCATATAGAATCACACCATAGCTATGAGAGAGGAGAGGAAACCATATTTCAACATACACTGGGTGCTATGTGTGAATGCTTCAGTGTGGTCAAATCTGTGTACTTGTTTATGTGATGTGTCATCTGTGTTGTCATGATGTGTAATGTTGTGCTGTAACAGTGTTCTGTCATGTTGTGTTTCAGTCACCATGGAAGACTTTCAACATCCTGACAGCGAGGATGAGACTGAGGAAGAGGCCATGACGAGGATACTGAAAAAGGTCTGCAACTAAAAACAGAACCTACTTTGTATATGTACTTTATCTCAAAGGAGTCTTTGTTATTTTACATTCCTACCCATAGTGGCGATGCATATCAACCTCTTTTAAGAGTGCTACTTTTCATAACCACAAGGGGCTGCTGTTTTGTCATTTTACTTATAAAGGTCATAATTGAAAGAGACAATTGAAGCTGTGATCTGGTAAAGGTGAATATGAACGATAAAGCAACCTGTGGTCATTGTTTACTCATTCCCAGCTCACGGAAGAAGCTGCATTAGATGAGGCCAGTGGCTATAACATACCTCCTGAGCACAGTGGCCCTAGGAACATAGAAAAGACAGACGCTCGCAAGAAACCGGTAATAAACCTGCAGTCCTCCTTGAATACACACACTTCACAGAATTCCACAAAGTGCCGATAGTAAAAGAACAAAAGGAAATATATATTTGTTTAATCTATGTTATAGACACCAGTTCCTTCAACGTCGTCGAGGACCCCAGCAGCTGTCCTAGCCAGTCAGGATTCAGACAGTGACGAGGATGAGCTTCCCTGGTGCTGCATCTGTAACCAGGACGCCTCCATCCGCTGTCACACCTGTGATGGGGATCTGTACTGCAACCGCTGCTTCAGGTACTGCACAATACTACTACGGCCACACAACTCAAGCAAATCATTGCAATGATTTACGAGAAAGTTAGATTGCCCGCGATTCGTCCTGCTGTTCTTGTAATGGTTTTTCCGAACTATGACCTAGATAAATCTTGTATAAGCTTCCGCCATTCCACAGAGCAGCACATGTATGTAATATTCAGTATGTTCAATTATCAATCTGCTCTTTGTTTCCCCAGGGAGGGCCATGATGAGTATGTCAGGAAAGAGCACCGCACAGCTAGTTACACGGCACCTAAGAAGAAGAAGAATACGTGAGACTGCAGGGGCTGGCACCTCTACTATCTGGATGGTCACTCCTGAGAGATGTGTACTATATCTTTAAGAGGCTGGACAGTTTTCTTGGAATTCCGCAGGATCACAAAGTGAAGGCTGATCCAAACAGTACTACTTGTCTTACAAAGAAGAAACCCTGATTATGTTGCTAATCTAGTGTAATACACAGTAATCTATCAAGTGTAGTTAAAGATTGCTTATAATATTATAATAATATGCCATTTAGCAGATGCTTTTATCCAAAGCGACTTACAGTCATGTGTGCATAGATTTTTACATATGGGTGGTCACGGGGATTGAACCCGCTACCCTGGCGTTACAAGCGCCATGCTCTACCAATTGAGCTACAGAGGACCAAGGATCAAGTGGCTATACTAGGGGGTAACGTTATGGGGTTGCAGCAGCATAATTCAATGCTTACGATCGCTACAGAATAACTATTGTAGATTCCATGACGTGATGTAATGTCTGTAAGCAATATCAGTCATTCACATGTGGACTATTGCCAATAATATGTAATATCTGTGTAATATCAATTTCCCTTTAATATGTTATGTAAGTCTAATTTACTCTCACAAATGTTAAACATTATTGTATTTCAGCATTACCCTAACCCTTTGGATTTTGGTCCAATTAAATAAAGGTGTCTGGGCAATTTGTTGTGCTACCTCAATTGTCTCAGAGGCATAGTTATGAGCGGTGTGGTTTGATTTGATAGTGCACTTGAATTGGCTTGCAGATATCTTATTTGTTGTCATGATACTGAGATAGATGCTGAGTTGGGGCAACAACACAACAACAACACACACAGATGTCGCAAAAACACAAGTTGCTCATTTGGGATGATGTTAGCTTCTCATTAGAGGCCCACAGAGGAGCTAGTACACAATTATTAGTGAAGGCTTTGTTTTCTTTTGGCAGGCAGTGTAGTCTCTGCTTTCCATGACAAACTGACCAGGTGAAAATATGATCCCTTATTGATGTCACTTGTTAAATCCACTTCAGTCAGTGTAGAGGAAGGGGAGGAGACAGGTTAAAGAATGATTTTTTTAAGCCTTGAGACAATTCAGACATGGATTGTGTATGTGTGTTATTCAGAGAGTGAATGGGCAAGACAAAATATTTAAGTGCCTTTGAATTGGGTAAGTGCCAGGCGCACCGGTTTGTGGCAAGAACTGAAACGCTGCTGGGTTTTTCACGCTCAACAGTTTCCTGTATGTATCAAGAATGGTCCACCACCGAAAGGACATCCAGCCAACTTGACAACTGTTAGAAGCATTGGAGTCAACATGGGCCAACATCACTGTGGAACACTTTCGACACCTTGTAGAACCCATACCCTGATGAATTGAGGCTGTTCTGAGGGCAAAAGGAGGTGGGGTGCAACTCAATGTTAGGAAGGTGTTTGGTATACTCAGTGTAATTTAATAGGATCTCTATGGGCAAACCTCTCTAGGGGCTCTCCACTCATACACTACGACAGCCACAGTTTCAGAAAGGCTGGAGAGGAGGATGAAAAATCAGGAGAATTACTTTAATGGAGCCCTTTGCCAGATTATATTTAGTGTATGACAGAGAGAGAGGGGCAGAGTGCAGTTTCATCAGGGTGCATTACTGTCTGGAGAGCCATAATGAAGCTCACCTCCAGGGTTTTAGTCCATTAAGGCCCAGATGGAGGCCCTCTCTGTGTTTGCCTACCTTGGTTATCCCACAAAGTGACCACAGGCAGGAAATGGACAGGCATAATGGATGAAAATGTATGCACTCACTAACTGTAAGTCGCTCTGGATAAGAGTGTCTGCTAAATGACTAAAATGTCTAAAATGCAGATAGAGATAATGACCCACCTCTCTGCTATAGTTGTTGCCCGTGCTGCTGACATGCTGTCATTTTCAGTCAAGTCCTGTGTTTCAACTAGACACTACCTCTGATCACAAAGAGGAATTTCAGACTCACAGTGAGAATGAGAATCTGTATGACTTCATAAGCGTAAGAGGGATAAAGATGCAATTTAATGAAAAAAAACATGCATTAATGTGTAGTTTGTGTAGCAACACCGGTGTGTTAAGCTGCAAACATGCATAATTGTTAGAGTGATTTTAGAGTGCTTAAACCGTAACATTGCCCCTCAATAATGCTGATTTATTCACCGGTGCTGAGTGGAATTATATCTTGATGGGTGAAGACAGGATTGGGAAGGTTGGCAGTACCACACTGTAGCAAAACTGCCTTAGGGCTGTGGGGGCTGCCATTCCCCCTGCCCTACTTCAGCTGGCATCGACTATTCAATCTTGCCCTCTCGTCTCTTATAGTCTTATAGAGTCTCCAGTGTGAAGTGTGTAGCTTTTAAGCAATGCTGTTTATTATACACTGACTATCTTTATCCTTCTACGAAATTACAAGTCATCCATTTACAATAGGTAGACATCCAAAGCCTTGTCTTGAAAATGTTGGTTTTATTGACATACAACACTGTTATCAGAAGAAAAAAATATGTACATAAATATGCAACCAAAAATTTACAGTCTTACACAAAAACTTTCCACGTGGGTAATAGACAATACATTTCATTACTGGTGCATTATTTGAATTGAGGGGAATGAAAATGTTAAAACTGTCCAGAAAAAATGTAATACAAAACACTAGGGAGCTTTACATTGTCTTGATTGTTGATTTGACCTCTCATTATTTCTTCAGGGGTCCTGACATTTTGCGTAGGCCCTTCATCCGATAAAGCAGCCCATTAATAAAGTCCTGAGGGGGAGGAAGAGAAAACTAGATAACGCTACCTGTTTTAGCAGTTGACTGTAAAACTCTTTCTGAGACCATGTAGGAGCAGTGAACCATTGAATTGCAACTATTTATTTGTAGAGAACAAATGTACACTTAGCAGAATTTTGTTTCGTTTCTCCAGTACATGACCAAGGCTATAACGGTTGCTTGTTGTGTCTCACCTCTTTTGGCTTGCCACATTCCTGCAGTAACTCCTGTAAATGGGCAGAAACAAACATGGCCTCAGTAACTGCAGTGGACATTGCTCTTTCACATCTAACATTGTGCAAGCACACCAACAGGGGTCAAGTGCTTGTAAAGCAATTCATCAAATCAAATCAAATCAAATTTTATTGGTCACATGCGCTGAATACAACAGGTGCAGACATTACAGTGAAATGCTTACTTACAGCCCTTAACCAACAGTGCATTTATTTTAAACAAAAAAAGTAAAAATAAAACAACAACAACAACAAAAAAAAGTGTTGAGAAAAAAAAGAGCAGAAGTAAAATAAAGTGACAGTAGGGAGGCTATATATACAGGGGGGTACCGTTGCAGAGTCAATGTGCGGGGGCACCGGCTAGTTGAGGTAGTTGAGGTAATATGTACATGTGGGTAGAGTTAAAGTGACTATGCATAAATACTTAACAGAGTAGCAGCAGCGTAAAAAGGATGGGGTGGGGGGGCAGTGCAAATAGTCCGGGTAGCCATGATTAGCTGTTCAGGAGTCTTATGGCTTGGGCTAGAAGCTGTTGAGAAGTCTTTTGGACCTAGACTTGGCACTCCGGTACCGCTTGCCGTGCGGTAGCAGAGAGAACAGTCTATGACTAGGGTGGCTGGAGTCTTTGACAATTTTGAGGGCCTTCCTCTGACACCGCCTGGTATAGAGGTCCTGGATGGCAGGAAGCTTGGCCCCAGTGATGTACTGGGCCGTACGCACTACCCTCTGTAGTGCCTTGCGGTCGGAGGCCAAGCAGTTGCCATACCAGGCGGTATTGCAACCAGTCAGGATGCTCTCGATGGTGCAGCTGTAGAATTTTTTGAGGATCTGAGGACCCATGCCAAATCTTTTTAGTCTCCTGAGGGGGAATAGGCTTTGTCGTGCCCTCTTCACGACTGTCTTGGTGTGTTTGGACCATGATAGTTCGTTGGTGATGTGGACACCAAGGAACTTGAAGCTCTCAACCTGTTCCACTACAGCCCCGTCGATGAGAATGGGGGCGTGCTCAGTCCTCTTTTTTTTCCTGTAGTCCACAATCATCTCCTTTGTCTTGGTCACGTTGAGGGAGAGGTTGTTGTCCTGGCACCACACGGCCAGATCTCTGACCTCCTCCCTATAGGCTGTCTCATCGTTGTCGGTGATCAGGCCTACCACTGTTGTGTCGTCGGCAAACTTAATGATGGTGTTGGAGTCGTGCCTGGCCATGCAGTCATGGGTGAACAGAGAGTACAGGAGGGGACTGAGCATGCACCCCTGAGGGGCCCCCGTGTTGAGGATCAGTGTGGCAGATGTGTTGTTACCTACCCTTACCACCTGGGGGCGGCCCGTCAGGAAGTCCAGGATCCAGTTGCAGAGGGAGGTGTTTAGTCCCAGGATCCTTAGCTTAGTGATGAGCTTAGAGGGCACTATGGTGTTGAATGCTGAGCTGTAGTCAATGAATAGCATTCTCACGTAGGTGTTCCTCTTGTCCAGGTGGGAAAGGGCAGTGTGGAGTGCAATAGAGATTGCATCATCTGTGGATCTGTTGGGGCGGTATGCAAATTGGAGTGGGTCTAGGGTTTCTGGGATAATGCTATTGATGTGAGCCATGACCAGCCTTTCAAAGCACTTCATGGCTACAGACGTCAGTGCTACGGGTCGGTAGTCATTTAGGCAGGTTATCTTAGAGTCCTTGGGCACGGGGACTATGGTGGTCTGCTTGAAACATGTTGGTATTACAGACTCAGTCAGGGACATGTTGAAAATGTCAGTGAAGACACTTGCCAGTTGGTCAGCACATGCTCGGAGTACACGTCCTGGTAATCCGTCTGGCCCTGCGGCCTTGTGAATGTTGACCTGCTTAAAAGTCTTACTCACATCGGCTACGGAGAGCGTGATCACATAGTCATCCGGAACAGCTGGTGCTCTCATGCATGCTTCAGTGTTGCTTGCCTCGAAGCGAGCATAGAAGTGGTTTAGCTCGTCTGGTAGGCTTGTGTCACTGGGCAGCTCGCGGCTGTGCTTCCCTTTGTAGTCTGTAATAGTTTTCAAGCCCTGCCACATCCGACGAGCGTCAGAGCCAGTGTAGTACGATTCAATCTTAGACCTGTATTGACTCTTTGCCTGTTTGATGGTTCGTCGGAGGTCATAGCGGGATTTCTTATAAGTGTCCGGGTTAGAGACCCTACTTTGTTAAATATTCCCGGGTTTATGTGTAAAGTATAAACAAGGGCATAGCTGAAGTGTATGT